GTGTGTGTGTGTGTGTGTGTGTGTGTGTGTGTGTGTGTGTGTGTGTGTGTGGTGTGTGTGTGTGTGTATGAATGTATGTATATACATGTATATGTATATGTATGTATGGATATCATACATACATACATATATATATATATATAATATATATATATATATATATATATATATATATATTCACAACACACACACGCACACACACACACACACACACACACACACACACACACACATACACACACACACACACACACACACACATATATATATATATATATATAATATATATATATATATATATATATGTGTGTGTGTGTGTGTGTGTGTGTGTGTGAGTGTGTGTGTGTACATACATATATACACATATATACACATACACAGATATACACAGACACATACACGCACACAGACACACACACACACACAACACACACACACACACACACACAACACACACACACACACACACACACCACACACACACACACACACACACACACATACACACACACACACACACACCACACACACCCACACCACACACACACACTCACACACACACACATGGAAAGAGAGAGAGAGAGAGAGAGAGAGAGAGAGAGAGAGAGGGAGAGAGAGAGAGAGAAGAGGAGAGAAGAGAGAGAGAGAGAAGAGAGAGAGAGAGAGAGAGAGAGAGAGAGAGACGTTCACACATTTGCTGCAGCAGCAAGCCAAGCTCGTCAAGCAAGTGACCCAATACAAATGAGATTTAGAAGCGTGTGCACGAGCCTGACCTGAAGTTCCATGCCTGAGTGAGATGAGGAGTGAGCGGACACCGGCTCAATCTGGTTTGAGCAGCAAACTCAGCAACTTGATGCTGTGCTCAGATCTTGGAGAAGAATGAGGCTATTATTATTTACCACTGGAGGCTACAGGAGGCCAATACCAATTGCCAAGAGAACAAAACATTATTTTTAGTTAATATTTTTATATGTATATATAGTATTGAGGGTAAGGAAGGTTCCGTATACCCTATTACGTGTGCATAATATATGAGACGAAAATGATGTGGCAAATACTTAAGGAAGTCCGTAATCATTTATCCTATGTAGCATATGCAGTTCTGGGTGTACGTATCTATATATAGATTTATCGAGAGAGAGGAAAGAGGATGTAACATATATTACATTTTGGTAACCTCTGACAAACATGTCGTAAAGCTTTTATTTTCATTGTTATATATAATAGGTCATTATTTCATGGTCTCAAAATATTTTGAAGTTGTAATTGTTTTTTTTCAATATTGCAATGGCTTTTGAATTGTACGGGTTGAGGCTTAAATCATTTCCAGGTTTTGTAATAGAGATTATTTGTCACATAGAAATCCGCACATATAGCAAATACCTTTTCTTGGATTTCATGTTTACATTAGCAAACAATTACTTTCCAGAATTAACATTTATATATAATTCCTCAAATAAAACGAACATTTATTATGGCGTCAGCAAATACAAGGATTGAATGTCCATAACTCAAGCTGTATTTATAATTACACTTCAGGAGAGATCGCTCTTCGTAAAGCATTCTCATCGCATCTCTGGTAAGACAGTCGTATTTTTTGCATTTTTATCGAAAAGTTACGTATTCATCCAGTTTTTACAGCGAATAAACAATATTTGTGTTGAATATTATTTACGTTTAAGAATTATTGTATAATTTGTGTTGCAAATATTGACAGCAACAAACTAAAGAGACAGTCCAGACAGAAAATCGCACATCTGTGTACACGATCTTATAGATTTACAGAGTATTGGCTATTCTCATAATATTTTCTCAAGTGTCAAAGTCATCAGTGTTGTGGTGGAAAGTAGTTGAAAAGGGATATTGATAAAAATGTGAAGGAGAAACTTGGTGCAATTTTTCGTACTAATATTTTTACTTGTTTTGATCTTGTCTGTGTTTATAATGGGTGTCAGAGCCGGTATTTACGAAAAGTCACAGAGCTTTAGGAATTTTAGGTAAATTTACGGCGGATAACAATCAGGATTACAGTAAAATAAAAAGGAAAATAAAAAGTGTGTGGAATGATTACCTTGACGTAAAGTAAGATACTTACTTTTCATCTGTGGCATAAGGTGCGCAAATCGAAAATAAAGGAGATACATGACCATGAAGAGAGAAGATCAACACATCTTTTTTTAAGTTCTTCGCCATTTTGACATCGGAAATGTAAACAAAATAACATCTGCAAACACCACACAGAAAAAGTTAATAAAAAATTTGTTAGGGTGTGATAGGGACTCAAGGGAAGAGAAAAGCCAGAGAAGAAACAATGTTTAGGAAGGGCGGAAGAATACACAGATGGGATACAGTTTGTAGGTTAAAGTTAATCGCCATTATGCTAATCCAGGACTTTTTCTGTGATGTTAGAGACTAGATTCTGATGTTCTGAAGATTAATTGTTTAACAGTTTTTATTGTTTTATTTCTTTCTTCATTTATCATAAAGTATTTATATCATTTTATGGAAGCATATCTGTATCCCTGAGGAACTAAATAACAGTTATTAATAGATTATTTAAGTAGTGTTCAGATTTTTAAATGATATATTTAAAGAATATATAAAAGTAGGAGGAGTCCTAATAATTAATGATCATTCAATTTCTTTTGGTGTCCTGAAGTTTACAGTACAAAGGGATTGGGAAATGCTATGAATGTTGAAATTATTTGACCCCAGTGATTTCAGTTTTTTTTTTTTTTGGTCCCTTTTATGGCTTTTATATTGAATAGTCTTGAAAAATTAATGTGAGGTCTCTGTAGACCCAATCCAAATGAACCCTTTGCCAAAAATTTAACCAGATGAAACTTTTATCAAAATTGGTATTTGTTACAGAGAGCAGATGATTTCTTTGATTTTCGGCATTGTTTCTTTTGCTAATGAATCGTTCAGGAGATTGAGTACCATCTCCATCGACAATCTTGATTTGATAGTCCAGTTAGCAGGGGAGGGCATGAAGTATTTCAGGGAAATTATGGGGTAAAACAAGCTTGAATAAGAAGAAGAAGAATAAAAGATGAGTAAAACCAGCACAAAAATTGCTTAAAATTGGTCACTTAAACTCTACTGATGTAACTGCCATCGTTGAAATTCTATAGGCTAATGCGCCAGATTTCAAAAACTATGGGAACCCAACCTACCTTTCGGCAAAACTCTACAGGAATTTACACGTTCCAAACCCCCCAAAAAAGTATTGACCAATAAACTAGCCTAATATATCAATTTTAGTTGCCATGACTAAGTGTGCCCTTCGGGCACTGTCTGAGGAGAGGGTTGATGGGGGGCAACACCCCTCAGGACACATTCTCTTCACCTCAGTATGTAGTGAAAGATAGAGAAGCATTCACACTGCAAAATGATAAACCAAATACCTTTATATCTGGATACGTCAAACTTTTGTTGCTTCTTCGTACCGTCAGGATTGCTTCAATTTTAATAACTTTTTTCCTCACTTGGAGCTCTTGATGGGCCCAGATATTAATCTGGGATGGTTACTAAAGCCTAATTATTCTTCGTTGCCACTGTATAAGTCTTAAAATAACCCGAAATCAACACAACACTGGAAACACCACATTTCTCACCAGCGTTCTAACTCGAAATGAGTGGGGTGTCAACCTGTGTCTGGCGAAAGAAAGTGTGAAACACTAGATGTGCACAATTCTAAAAAAGGGTATAGATAAATCTTAAAATATGCAAATGAAGTATAATAACATTAATAAAAGACTTTAAAAGCATAAATGTGTAACAGCATACACTGATAATTAGCAAAATATTGTTTTGACAACCATGTAGTAAGACAAGAACTAGTTCGGACATCGCAGTTATTAGTGTTTTCTTATTCCTGGCAAGGTAAACAAGTTGCTGAACTTTGTGTGGCAACCGTGCATTATATTTTCGTCATTTAGCAGTGACTATAAGGCCGCTGCAGCTTAAACTATGTTCTTTCCCACTATATTTCTTCCGCTGTATAAGATGGCGGTGTCCATTTCCCTCTATCTACGCAGATTGGTGTTTTCAACTTATACCTCAAAATTAATCCAAATGGACATTTTTGTCTAAATCACATTTCCCACTATGTTTTTTTTTTTTTTTCTAGATTAATACAAATAAACTTATGCTTTATTTAATCCAGTTGAACCTTAAGCCCAAATTAAACCAAATAAACCTTTTTACCAATATTGATCATAAGGAATCTTTAGCCAAAGTCAAACTTTCTATCAAAATTGGTTAAAATTAAACCTTTGCCTGAATGTCCTTTTTCATGATTACTCACTATGCTATTAGCAGTAATAAATGTTCCACTAATTTAGGCCTTGTATTTGTTTTAGCCTGCAGGTATGGAGTACACAGTAAGAGTACCAAAGTAAGTGTAATGGTTTGAAGTTTGTTTTTGTGCTATATACAAAAATCAACTGATGTACTTTAAGATAAAGAGCTTGACTGTGTATATCTTCTGAATCAGCATATATAACTTTTGTACCAATAGAAGAGGAACTTTAGGATACCAATTGACTAATTATAAAATATCTCAACAGGTCCCTCAAAAAGAAATACAATGTGATGCGATTTCACACAGCCTTGGGGGTGGACTTCAAAACATGGAATCACACCAAGATGGAGAGAGAGAACAACATGAAGGAGTTCAAGAGCTTGGATGATGAGATGCCCAAGTAAGACAGAATTTTCAAGCTGAGAGTGCATGCACTGTCCACTACTGTTTGTTTGTTTTCTTGTTTTTGAATCACACCTAGATAGCTCCAGGAATGCTTCAACAAGTAATTTACTACCCATTGTTTAAATTTTTGGAAGAAAGGATTTTATTGTTATTACTTTTAATGTTGCTAATAACATGATCATGTTATTAATGATATTGATAAAACTAATAGAATTAATAATGATAACAGTAACCGAAACAAAAACTCCTTAATGAACTATCCATATGCGAACAAACTTAACCCAATGTCGATGGGAAAATGTTGCATTCCTTTTGGCAATGCTTAGATAATTGTTTCTTCACATAGATGGCTCTGTGAGAGCTTATCTACAAAGGAATCAATTAGTAGATCTTGTGACAACACTTTTCCATGAAAAAGCAGATTTTTTTTTTTTTACTAATGTTCTCAATATTGACACTGTTACTTTTGTTATAAATCATTATAATAAACATATTGTTTCTGACATTACTAACAGCAGTATTAAATGCTAGAAAATGATATTAAAAATCAATGAAAAGGGTAAACAGGAAGACAGTTAGTTTGCGTAATTAGCTTATTGGTGACTTAGTACTTGTGGATCCATCTATATGTAAACACAATTACTAAATTTAACACACACAATGGGCATGGTATGTACGCACTTGATATCCCCAACAGCAAGTGGTTCATCAAACAAAAATACAGTGCATGTACCTGGCACCAATGTGTTGATTGAGAGACTTTGTTTATGCAGTTGTTTTATAAGAGTAGGTCTTCTTTACATGCAAGGCTACTTTTACACCAAGCTGGCTTACTGAATATTGCATGCCACATGGTACGCCATTTGAAATCGAACATCTGGAAATATATGAACCGTGTCACATAGGAGTTGCGTAGGACTTCACACGTGCCAGGTACAACCTGCATGTGGTGCTAAGATTTGACTTGTCCGTTCTTTTTCTGTATGTGATCTGCTACCATGGACAGTGTTGTCAGATTGTAATAAAGATTTTACATCCAAAGTTATTATTAGCCAAGATAATATAGATTTTTGAAATTAAATGACATATGATAAAAAGAAAAACTTTTAGATGTGTGGCATTCAAAGAGTAGTTTAAAGTGTCTAGACATATTTTCAACAAACACATTTGAAAACACTTTGTTTGCCCAGTGAGTGAAGCTTCAATGAGTCTTGCAGGTGGAGACAATGCAATGTGTGCCTGCTCTTGTTCACAACTATACCTTTTCCAGACAATGAACCATTTAGCATAACATTTGTATAAACTGTGGAGAAATACTAGTGTTTGCATGATGCAACATTACCACAGTACAATAAATATTCTCTCCATGGTCAAATTATCGAAATATTCTGTGAGAAAAAATCCATACATGTATTTTCAGGGTATTAGTTCAATTCTTTGTTTTGAATTTTGTATCATAGTGATCATTGATGTGCAGTAGTTTCTGCTGAGGGGTTACCCCAGAACAAGTTTGCCTAACATTTCTCCACTTTGTTCCTCCAAGTGTCAAATGGTTGTCTGAAGATTATTAAGGACTTAGGAGAATAATAACATCAATATTCTCCAATGATGTCATTGTGAACGAGTGAAAGCAGCCTAACACTTGCCATGTGCAACCTTGATCTGAAATTGCCGTGCCATGCTTCACTTGCAACTTGCCACATACTATGTGGCCATTTGGTGTTAAAGCAGCTTAAATGATACTAAATTGACTAGCTAGTAAGCATTTCCCCCTTCCCATATCACTTTTTGTAAATATCTTTAGCATCTGTCATATATTCTGTCAGCAATTATCATTTTATTATAATAAGTAGCATGTCCTCTTTCATCTCAGCATATAAAGCAAATACCATAAGTCTTTAGTCATTTGTTACTATCTACCATTCTCCCAAAAGATGTATAAGTTTTCTAGGTATATAACAGAATCTGTCCTTTTCTGGCATGGATAGCGCAGTCCCATTTAATTCTCAGGCTTGCTACCAGTCAGCATTTGCCATTACCATGAGGATACATTTTCATTAGGGTATAGCAAGCATGTTTCGTTCTCCTCTGCTTTGTATACTTTCTGTCAAGAATAGATTTATGCAATTAAATACTTGTACTCTCCCAGGTATGGGGCAGGGTCTGAGTTCGGCCGTGACCAGAGAGAGGAGGCAAGGCGAAAGAAATATGGCATCCACATGAAGAAATACCGACCAGAAGACCAGCCATGGATCCTCCATGTTGGTGGAAAGAATGGAAAAAGTGGGTGTTATCAGATTTGTATTGAAAATGCATTTTTTGTTATTTTGTTGATTTATGAACTGAGTTTTTGTAGGATACTATTTCCTTTTTATTTATTTATTTATTTTATTTATTATTAATTTTTATTTTTTTTCATTTTATTTTTCCTTTTTAGATGTTAATTATTGCTTATGGAATTCATTTAATTGTATCTCTTTAATAGTATTTCACAGTATTATCTATGAAATGAAGTGCGGATTTTCATGTTTTAGAATTTTAGATATTTATAAAAAGGTTATTTTTATGATTTATTTCCATAAAAGGGAGGAAGATTTTGGAGAATAAGTCTTACAAAGCTGTATTTTTGTGTTCAGTGTTTTTTGGTAGTAAATATTGATATATTAAATACTTTGGTGATACAGGAATAGAATTTGGAAAGAATGTATATTCTTTTGCCTGCCTCATATCAGATTTTACTTTACAGATATAAAGGAATCAGAGAAGGTGGTGTCTCGGAGAACTCCTCGTGGTATGTGTTTATGCAGGGTAAAGATGGGGCCTTTGAAGCGTACCCTGTCGAAGAGTGGTATAAGTTCAGTCTTGTTCCTAGGTACAAGGCCCTCAATGCAGAGGAAGCAGAAAAGGAGTTTGAAAGGTCAGTCTTTTTTCAAGTGTGTGTGTTTGTTTTAAGTTAAGAATTTCAAAGTTACACCCTTATATTCATATTTTTGACGGATCTCAAACCTCAATTTCAAGAAATATTTCACAAATTTTGATTTTAAGCCATGAAACAAGAATAGAGGCTGAAAGTAAGATTATTTATTATTTATAGTGGCTGCATTTTATCTCAAAAGTGAATGAATTATACCTCATTTTGTATTTTTTTCATATGCTATATAAATTGTTAGAAGAAACAAGAAATTATATAAAAAAAAGGCCATCACCCATTCAAAAAGATATATAGTACATCAAATTTGGTGAAAAAATGAAGCCAGCATTGGAAAAATATTGCTATTAACTCCTGTTTCAAGTTTTATTTACACCAAAAAAATTTAATTGTATGTGAATATCAAAGAATATAAGAAAATGTATTTCAGAACACACTCTGAAGCAGGATTAATTCAATTTTCACCATATTGATATTTGTCAAACAATAGATACATAAAAAGAAAAAAGAGAGAGAGAAAAAAAATTTAATTGTGTGTATTTCTCATAATACCTATCAGGAACATCAATATTTCCTGGACAAACATTTTAATTCAGCTTTATTTTTTGATGTTATTATGATTAATTTATCAGCATATAGGCAGAACAGGAGAATTAAATTAATAAATGATACATACAAGCATACTTATAGGATTATTTGAAGTTAGAAAATAAGTGTCAGTAAGGTAACAAAAAAGGATCCAAACTCATATTTAGCTGCTGAGAACAATAATTTGAAGATTTGTTATATATATAAAACATATGAATTTTATGTAGATTTATTATTTGAATATTATAACAATAACGTCAGATTAGTGGTGTCCAGCTTGTACTATTGCTCAACACTTTGGACAAGTGATGTGGCTGCCTGAGTTGTCAGCACTCATTGTGATCTTATTTTAAGTTACTGGCTAGACAAGGAAATTGCTTTACATTTTGTTCCTCTTGTTAACCACTCATTTATGATGCCAGAATTCGCTGTACGGCTCTCATTCTGGCGAGTTCTGGCATACGTCTATCCTTTCCACCAGGCTTATTGTAGCCATATATGTTCTATGTTACTGATATATTGTAATATAAACTCCATATTACTACTTGTGTGTGGCAGTTAACTGTGTGAAGAAGTGGTGTGGTTTTACTTTTTTTCTAATTTTTAATAGAAATATTTACAGATATGTACATATTTGTACATATTTGCTCTCTAGGGGCATGTTGGCACAAACATGCCATTGTGAGCAAAGGTTAGGTTGATGGGAAAGACTCGCCATGAGTGCACAGACTTCTTGGAGTGTGATTAGACTCATTTGGCTCTTAGATGGGGGCTTTTACATTATTCCCATCAATAAACGAATGTCGAATGTAAGGTGACTGGAAGAGTGCTGGCTATAGGGAGGACACCTTTGTATTCCTGACTGCTGTGGCAAGTGGTGCAGGTTGTATTACGGAAGATTGATAATTATGAAAAAATAAGATAGATGACATAAATAACCAAATGTTACTCTTTTTTTCTTTCTTTCTTTCTTTTTTCTTGCACTGAAATATTTACAATATAGAGAGATGATATGGAATCTGCAAGGAACATAATCTGTTGCCATCTGGATAAAGCGAATTAAGAGACAAATATGGCCATTGGAAAATGAGGGAGGGGGGGGTTACATAAAAACACTTTGCAAAGGCAAGGCACAGAGTCTTGTCTCCACTCATGAGTGTTTGTGTGCCTGGCGTACAAGCCACTCGCTACTTATGCTGAATTATGTAAAGGTCATTTTTGAAGATATACGAAAAAAATGCCAACCCTCTCTGAAGATTCTGCGTATTGGTTGGCACTCAACGGAGATTTACCTATGTGAAAGCTTTTCAAAAATATATATAACTTTGACTTTGGCAGGAAAAAGCCAGATGACCCTAAACAACCTAATTGTGTTTTTTGAACAGGCGCGACAAAATTATGAACTACTTCTCAGTGATGTACCAGAAGAAACTTAAGAAAGATGGAGGAGAGGAAGGAGAGGAAGGAGAAGAGGCCACAAAGAAGAAGGGATCCTCAAGCAAGAGTAAGGGACAAATCTCGTTTCAAACACACACACGCACGCACACGCACGCACACACATACACATATTTAATAACTTAGTCTTGCTCAGATAGCCTACAGTTATTAGTGAAGAAAAATGTAAGGTACTGTGCAAGCCTACTTGGGTAATTCTTTTATGAAATTAAAGAAATAGAAGAACCAAGGGTATGTAAATGGAACAATATTACACTGGATGGTCATTCATTACAGACTTGAGACTGTCAGAAATGGATGATTGGATGTCTGATGATGAGTCAGGGAGCAATGAAGAAATTGATGAAGAGGAACGGGAAATGCAAAAGAAGAAGAGAAAGTTCAGTCCAAAGGCAGACACCAACATGGTAAGCATCAACCGGCCTGTCACGTTTTGTCAGAAGTCCTGTTTTTGTGAAGTGTATTGTAAAAGGAATAAATCTGTGACTTTCAATTTATTTTTATGCTTAGCCATCTTGTTATGTTTGACAGAGCACATTCTCTTATCTTTCAGGGGGAAAGAAGAAGAAGAATCCAGATGGAGACAGTGAAGAAGATTGCCTGGAGGAGAGTGATGAATACAATGATGGGGCTGAGCACGATTATATCTCAAGTGATTCTTCAGAGTAAGTTGGATGCCAAATAATTTTGCTTTTTTATTTTGTGTGTGTTGTGTTGTGTGTGTGTGTGTTTGGTGTGTGTGTTTTGGTTGTGTGTGTGTGTGAAAGAAGAGAGAGAGAGAGAGAGAATGCCATGAAGTCTGCTTTTACAAGATTGTGTGTTTTAGAGAGGGACGAAGTGCTTTAAAATTTTAAAAGTGGGGCTTGCCAATCATGTCTGTCTTTTATTTTATAATTGATATTTTTTTTCTTTTCTTTTTCTTCGCCTTTTCCTTCTTATTTCTCTGAGAAGGGTAATAGATTTCCCCAGGATTTGTTTGTAATTTTTTCCTTTCTTTTTATGTTTCGCATGCTTTTGGTGACTTTGGGCTAGTGTGGCCATCAGTGGGTACACAAAATTCACAAAATAAGAGCACAATGCCAGTTTGTTAAAATGATCCACCTGTAAATTTTAATAGTATCATTAGTTTTGTGTGTGATTACTGTTGAGGATATTGTGCTAAGATGCTGAGAAGAAATGCATTTTAGATGAGAGATCGTGTGTTTTGTGATATTGCATGAGGCGGGCTATCAGTGTGAGGAACAACTTCAAAATAATTATTGTATTTACCTCTCTCCCTCCTCCTAACGCAATTCTCTCTATCCCACAGCTCTGAAGCTGCAAATGATGAGGTTGTCACCAAGGAGTTGGCAGGAGTTGATGAAGCAGATGCCCTGAGGAAACTCCTAGGCTCTGAAGATGAGGAAGAGGAGGAGAAGGAGAAGGAGAAAGAGGAGGAGGATGAGGAGAAAAAGGAAGGGGAGGAGAAGGAGGAGAAGGAGAAGAAAAAGAAGAAGAAGAAGAAAAAGGATAAGAAGAAAGATCAAGGTGAGCGCTTGTCAATGTTGCTTCATGTTTCATATGTTTTTGGGGTAGGCAGATACCCAGAAAGTTACCAATTTATTTGCCTGAGAGTCTGTTTTTTTTTTACTTAATTTTTAACCTAGGAACAATTTTTTCCTATTTTTTTCCAATATTTTTTTGTTAATAAAGTTTTTGATTATTTATTTGCCTGAGAGTCTGTTTTTTTTTTTACTTAATTTTTAACCTAGGAACAATTTTTTCCTATTTTTTTCCAATATTTTTTTTGTTAATATTGATAGATAAAGTTTAAAACTTTACATTGTTAAATACAATGCAAGCAAATAACAGTACCCTTTAATTCCAGATATTTTACTGTCAAGTAGGATAGAGCAATGCATTACAGAGCTGAGATTGGAAACTATTACATGGCAGTGCTTACAGTATTGGCAAGGTCAATTTTTATTTCTCTAGTAGGATATTGTAAGATTGTAATTGAACATGGGAGTACCAATCATTATCACCTAGCATTTATAGATTTCCTCTGCCAAGGAGGTTATGTTTTTGGTCCCATTGGTTGGTTGATTAGTAGGATAACACAAGAAGTTATGAACAGATTTTTATGATATTTTTACCAGAGGTGTGTTTTAGTTTAACTTAGATTCTATTAAATTTTGCTGGTAATCCTGATCATGATCTGGATCCAGGAATTTTTTGAGTGATTGCATAAATGACCCTATTACCAAGGCATTACCTTTATCACCTCTGCCAAGGAGTTTATATTTACGGATATCCCCAGTGTACTTGAGAAAGGTGATTTTAATGTAATTCTTCAGGTGGGAATATTTTTTATTGCATCAGTGATCCTATTGCCTTGGTAGAGGTATTTGCTCTCTGAGCTTCTTCTTCTTCTTCTTCTTCTTCTTCTTTCTTCTTCTTCTTCCCTGACTGTATGAAGAATGGTTAATTATGTGCATTTGACTGACCATCTTGAGTAAGGATCACATTTGGCCTTTCTAGCTGTGCCCTGCTCATCATGAAATTTTTTTAAGGGCCTTGTATGAACAGCATCCAAGAATTGATTTTAGTTTTATCATATGTTCATTATCTGCCACACTGAAAGGATTATTTTTTATGCAAAATTTTCTAACAAACTATATGCCTAAAAGTTTGATTTTTTTGCATTTTTTAATATGTTTAAGTTACATAAAAAGACCTGTTGAGCTAGGTTATTAAAAAAATTATAATAAATAATATGTTTTGAAGTTTGTAATAGGGGGGGAAAATTACATTCTTATTGTATTCAAATACAAATCATGCCCACATGATTATAGCAGTTGAAGTAATAGTATTATTTTTAGTAGTAGTAATAGTAGTAATAGTCGTAGTAGTAGAAATAGTGGGTAATCATAATTGAAGTACTATTAGTGTTAGCATTGATATTTCCATTATGATAATTATATATATATTCATGGTTATTAACCCCTGGATGGTACTCTAGAACATGCATAAACATTGCCGGGCATCCCACCAGAGTAACACTGTATCAGGACTTTGCGCTCCGGTGCAGCAGCTGGCCGCCCGCCGATTTTGTAGCTGCCCGGAATTTTTTTATTTTTGGCTTCAAAATATACCGGCATTAATGGGTTAAGGTTAAGGGGAGGTAACACAAGTGTTTTTCAACCATAAATTGGCTGTAATTTTAACATTTCCACTTCCCTTACTTTCCGAATTTGCATGATCTACTACCTAATCAACAGTAGTAGCAAGTGTATGTATCACTCAAAAATTGGCAAAGGGGGCATAGCAAGAGAGTCTGTAGTTTGCTAAGAAACTGTACATATAATAAGAATATATATATATATTTTATATATATATATATATATATATATATATATATATATATATATATATATATATATATATATTTGTATATATATTATATATATATATATATATATATATATATATAATATATAATATATATATATATGTATATAGATGTATGAAAGTATGTATATATATATTTTTTTTCTTTTCTTTTTTTTTTTCTTTATTGCATTTTATAATCTTATATTTTCCAGAGCATGCATGAAGAGTATCAATGATGTTATCATTGTGCATAAGTGTGGGTCTTCCAAGTTCCTTAAAGGAGCTTGCTTATATCTATCCTCCAAATGAAGTTCTTGATGCAGATTATGATACACATTTTTATTATTTCTTCTGTGCAACCACGAAGGAACCCACATATGTTGTTTTAGTAGTCGATGAACCTCCATTTTTACAGCAGATGATAAATAACCTGCAGGCAACTATGAATGCCAGGTTTGTCTATGAAATTGAACCCATAGGCAATTGTTCTGTTTGCCTGTAACCAGCAAATTGAGAATTTGTCAACAGGGTAGCTATCGCAAATTGGTTGCTGAAAAAAATGCTCGTGTGACTTTGTATTCAGTTGATAAAAAGCTTTTCCACACAACCTCATGTGTGGGATCATAGTGACAGTAATATTAATGTAGTTTTAATGACAGTGAAGGTAGTTATCATTATTATAATGATGCTAGAGATGATAAGCAAAGTGGTATTGTGTGTTAGTCCATTGTTACACAGAAGTCTCTTAGCATGCATACAGTTAGTGCAAGCTGCATTTAATGACCCTGATGCACTATCATTACTCTTCCTCCACACAAGACCCCCCTTCAAAAAAAGATAAAATAAAATAGAATATATATATGTATTCTTCCTTTATTCTTTTTCTGTTTTTATGAAATTATGCATGCTTTGCCTTTTTTTATCAAGATTGAAATACCTTACAATAGCATGAAATTGCCATGGAAGCTGCCTTTTAGAGGTTTTGAATAAATTTTTGCAAAGTCAGGTTGTGTTAAGATGTGTTGCTACACAACCGAGTTATTGTCTGGCTCACAGCTGTACTCCTATAAACTGGGACCTGGCTTATGATGTGATTAGATGTCATCAGGCTCATGATGTGATGTATCACACAGTATAGTGAAATTTTTACTATAACATTATTTATCTTACATTTTATGTATTCTGAACACAGAGATTTTTGAAAATGCTTGCTGGTGTATATGTGTATTTGTATGTGTATGTGAAATCACACTACAATCATTACTATCAGATGCGTTTTAGATACTTTAACAGGTATGCTTAGAGAACTTTTGAAAAAAATGTTGATAAGGTAAACTCATATTATTTAACCACAATAATCCGGGTGACATGACAGTCCTGTCATGGAAAATCTGGGTTGAGGTCCAGGTGACATGAACATGCCTCCATTGGACAAAATGGACACGTGCTGGGTGACGCAAATGTGCTGTCATGTGTATAGGCCTGGGTGATGGAAAAGTCTCACCACAAGTGCACAAAAACTCTTGGAATGTGATTAGACTCCTTTAGAACTTTTGCTTTTGCATTATTCCCATTGATAAATGAATGTGGAATGTAAAATGGCTAAACCATGACTGAAAGGCTCAGCATGGTATTCTTAGCCACTGTGACTGGCAGAGCAGGTTGTATCAGGGAAAACTGAAAATTATGAAAAATAAGGTGACAAAAATAACCGAATGTTATTTTATTTGCTTCATAGAGATGATATGAAGTCTGTGCAAGGAAAATAATCTATTACCATCTGGAGAAAGCAAATCTAAAGACAGATATGGACAATGGAAAATGGAAAAAAAAAAAAAAAAAAAAATCCGTGACACAACCAGATCCAACAGGTTTAGATTAAGAAAAAATACTAATATAGTGATATTTCATTTTTGCAGCAGACTCTGATGCCAAGACCTCTGACACCAGTGATGACGAAAAGAAGAAGAAAAAGAAGGATAAAGATGATAAGATGTGAGTAGAGAAAATGT